GCTACAAGTCTCGCAAAAAAATACTTAAAGACTTCTAGTTTCTTATATACAAGCAGGATCAACTTTCCATTTCCCTAGTCTAATGCTTGCCTCATTGGGGAAAGCAAATAGCTATTACTCCTTTAGCTTAGTTATTAGAAATCTCTGTTGAATTGCTCACAATGACAGGTTTATACCCTTCTGCTCAAGTAGTAGAAAAGGCTGTACAGAATAAAAACCTAAATTCTGTATCAAAGAAACATGAGGAAAAACAATCCGACAAAAATCACAACAAACCTACAGTGCTGAAGGCAAAGAGCCAAGCACTTACATGTAAAGTGATTCACAAAACCTCAGCTTTTCTCTTTGTGTGCATGCACTTGGATATAGGGTTTATGGTAACTTTCTGTTCTTGCTCACTGACCACACAGGAAAATTGGAGCAGAATTAAAACTGCAGGGATAAAATAAATTCTAGCATTTTCTAGCTTTAATTAACGCTGTAGCAAATAGGTACTATGTTTTATTTTTTGTCACCTTACCATCAACACACTTTGTTGGTTATGGCTAGTCAACACTTCCTACTTTAAGGTCACATTTTCAGTTATTCCAAGTTTGCAAAAAACTTTTCTTTGGAGTATGATTACATATACTGCACCTCCAGCTGATTTTTAGGAAAAACAGAACAAAAATGACTCAGTCATTTCTAAGAATGAGTCACTGGATAACACACGCTGCTTTAATTATATTCAAAGAATTCTTCAAACTTTTATTAAGAAACTCTTAACTTCTTCACATTTCAGAAACAGGGACATGAAATTCAGCACAGAGGCTGTGCTGGTGTCACTAACTGGACTTTTTGTTCTTCCTTTGAAAAACCACACATCTGTCGAACCTCTGAAAAGACTGAACTTACACATGCTCACCAGACTTGCTTAGAAGCCCAAATTTTCAGTTTTCTGTCCATTGAACATACTGCAGAGAAGGAGCTGGGTGGTCCTTGCAGTAGGTGGCCCATTGCCAGGCTGTCACACACTAAAACTGAAACAGGGTAGGTTATTTCTCCTCTGGTTTCAGGACTCCTGAAATTTTCACTCCATCAGCACGAAGTACTACCCAGTTCAAATGCAGGGGAAGCAAAGGTAGATTTGGATGAGAAAGAAGATGTGAGTTCTGAGAGAGAAGACAGGCAAGAGTCTGAGATCAGATGAAAAGAGATGAAGTGTGAACAAGAAACAAGGCTGGGTGAAGACAGCAGGATGATTCAGACAGGGTCTTCCCAGCAAAGAGGAACTGCCCAAGGACAAGCAGTCCCAGTTTGATTTCCTTGATTTCTATCAATTTCTTGAAGGTCAGACAGCTGAGAGGTCAACAGGCTGTATCTTCTGCAACAAGAGAAAAATCAGGTCCCAGGCTACTCTTTTGCTAAGAGCCCCCCAAAAAATACACAAGATCCAGGAGCCCTGAGCCCTTGGCCCAGGCTCAGAGACTACCACCCCAGGGGGTAGACAATAGCTGAAGAAGCCCTTCCCGTGCTCACCAGCCCTCTACTCTCTTCCTTCTCAGCTCTGGGCTGGAAAACACCCACTGTACTCTGCTTAGTCAAGGGCTAGTGGTCAGGGGTGTCAGGCAGCCCAGGGCTTCAGTGGTGTTTCCCATCCGCCCACCCTCGGCAGTGTAGTCACATGCCGGCACCGTCACAGGACGCGCAGCTCTCAACCCCCAGTCCGCCTCCGCCACAGGTCTTACGGCAGGAAACCCGCCTCAGCGTGGGAAGCCTGGGCCACAGCTCCCCTTCACCTCACCAGGGAAAGGGCACACAGCACTCACAGCCATGCTGCAGAGTCCTTTGGGGACAGGGTACAGGGTGCTACCAGCCCAGGGGGGTTTTTAGCCCCTCAGCTGCACACAGATACACAACACCCTACAGCCACAGCTTTCCATTTACTGGAATAATGCATAGGACCACACTCTTATAAAGAGTGATGAGGTAATTACAAAGGAGTTTTCCCTTGTGTTTTTAGGATAAGCGGCTTATGTCACTAAGTATTACATAAAGACAGTGTTAATAAGACCCTCCCTCCCAAAGTCAAGATGAACAATTTCAAGATACTTTTTGCCTTAATGAGTAAAAAAGCAAAGGGGGTAAAAAAAAAAAAGTATTCTATTACTTTCCCTTAGTTTCTACAGGGACATCCATTGCAACAGCAGAAGTGTAGGTGACTTCACATTAACTGTTTCTTCATTTATACCTAACAAGTCAAAGTACAGGAGGTGTTAATTCCAGCAATGGAATTACTAACCATACATAATTTAATACAGAGCTGCTCCTCTTTAAGGAGATGGATTACACATCCCTCACCCCTTCCCTCTGGGCTTTCAAGCCACACATACAGCAACCCATTAAGCAAGCAGATAGAGAAGAGCAAAGTTTGCAGGAAGTCTGATATCAAAGAGCCTCCCTCACTGACTCTTTATGGACAAGTAACTTTCCTTTCAATCACTGTAACAGAGGACTTGCTCCACAGACAAAGGAAAAAACAGTTAAGTTGAATTGCTGTAGTTCCAATTTTATTTAAAACAGCTGAAAGATAATCTGCATAGTCCTGGGGCAGTATTGCACTTCTGCAACATCCAGGGAAACTCCAGAAGAGTGATGTCACTCTGCACTGGGCCCAGCATTGAGTCAAGGTATATTCAGACAAAGCATGTAACTGCACTTATGCTGGATCAAGTCCAAGAAACTAGTAACCAACATTCCTCCTAAGCATTCTTCTTAAAACCTTAAGAGCAAGGCGTGGGGGGGGAGCAATTTAGAAGATAACTGCAAAGCAAGAGTGGGAAAAAAAAACACAAAACAACATGTAAAGGCATATACTTTGATATCCATTACCTAGGCTCGTTTGAAGCTAGTTATGTAGTTGTGCAAATGCACATGCTGACAGGGGTTAAGGGCAAAACATGCCTTAATAGTCCTGGAATACTCACTGGAAGAATTTGTTTAAAAGCGTGGTACTATCACACTGTTGTAGACTACAATAAAACACTTAATTTTCATATTTGTTTTGCTCTTTATCTTATCTTACTTCAGCTTTAATTCCTTCAAATTCATGATGGATTTTTATTTACACAGGTGTTGAAGTTGTATACATACTGTAACTAGTACACAGACTGGACAATATTTAAATACTATGGTTTTAACACAGATCACAAAACTAAGGTAACCATTTTATAAACTCAATGTGTACTGCTAAAAGCCACTTAAGTAACATGGGTTTTGTTTCTTAATTTTAGCCTGGGACTGAACCTAAGCCTTGCAGTCTAAGTTTCAGAGTTGTTGAGGGGAGAGGGAAGAATAAGACCTCTCTAACCCACTAAGGGCAATTTTCCAAGAGATAAATTGCACTTGAAGCAAGCTGGAAACCAGAGGTAATAAGGAAAAAACTAAGTATATTGCAATAAATACAGTCATGCTTTCTCCACAAGTTTGGAATGCTAGCAGTAAGGGGAATGCTAGAGAATTAAGACCTTAAAAGATATATGCCTCTTCTTATTCCTTTACAGTCCTCCGGTCTTGTTGCTAGGGTTTTAGGCAGATCCATAAGATAATCAGTGCTCAGAATTGCTGTTTAAGCCAAGCAACTAATTTTAGAAGAATTCAGGAGTATCTCTTGTCCATGTAGCAGACTGGGACTTCAGCTGTCAATGCAGTTTGCAAACTGCACTATTCAGAGGGCATTAATTAAAAACAGAAATACTAGAAGCAGGAAAGCAGCGTTCCTAGTCTCCTCAAATTTACTCTAGCAAGACATTGTTTTGTAGAACATATTTCTTATGGCACTGTCCCCACACCTTATATTTGTTTTAGTCGTTTGGGTTTTTTAAGCAGATCCCATCTGCATTAAAAAAAAAGAGACTGAAGATTTTAAATTTCTCTTTGGAATATAGTATTTTACGGTACATACAAAAATACTCTGGAAAAAACATACAACTTCATTTACAAAAACACCAAATAACGAAATTACAATAGAGAGATAGCATAACATTTGTTTCATATGTTCAGAATTTCTCCCCACCCCTTGAAAAAACCTTAATGCACTCAACTGGGTAAGCAGTGTTATCAGTTTACAGAACTAGACTTGAGACTACTACAAGTTTTCCTGTAACCATTTAGAACAGCCTCCAAAGTTTATCCGAAGCCACTTTCTGCATGCCAGTTGCTTTCGAGACTGCAGCTCGCAGGTGGGCAGCAGTGTCACAACAACCTCAGCCGTTGCAATGTTTAAATACATCTTCAGCTGTGTGTTCAGAGTTTAGCTTTACTACCCAGTGGCAACAAAAAAAAACACCCTCAAGTCTCATGATGGAACAGTCTTAAGACAAAAATCAGATAACATTGCATGGGACACGTCTATCATCTCCATACCTTGGTAGCATCCTCTGCTGCATTTTCTTCAATATTTAAATTATTTATGGGCCTCCATGGGAGGCAACACTTGTGTAGTACATGGCTGTGCTAGACAGGCGAAATTTACTAGCTGAGGAAGCTGAGCACCATTGTGATAGATGCACAGGAGTGTATGTGCCAAACGGGAAAATAATTTAAGATAAGAACAATACATGCACGTGAACTAGGAAAGCACAAATGAATACAAACATGTTCACACACACTTGAAACCAGAATGTGGTTGTAGTGACTAGTTAGCCCTGTTTAGATACATTCTGAATCCAAGTCACAGAACAGGTCTTTTTTTGGTGTTTTTTTTCAAAAACTCTTTTAGCTAGTTACAGTTAAGACTTTGTAAAAGACTGATAAGGATAACTGTTACAAGAATATGCAAAAAGTAGTTCAAAAGGAAGCAGGCATCTCACAATTCTATAAAAGATGACCATGATTTTAACTTGCCAATTGCAGTCTGTCAACAGTAACCTTCCATACGATGCTGGAAACTACAACACACATTGATAATATGGATCACTAAACAAGTTATTATTCTCTTTACCTGAAGAAATACCAGTTACCCATTAAGGGTAAGCTTGATGGATCTTTTAATAATACGAATACTATTTGTTGGAACAGGAGATGAAGAATCTGGTAGTTCATTACTGGCAAGCCTCTACAACACAGAAAAAGAAGCCACAAGAAAAAAAAAGTTTTAAATTAATTAATTCAGAAGTAACAGCAGATAAACCCTTTCCTAGCTAAATATAACAAAGTTCTTTATGTACCAAAACAGTATGGTCCCAAACCAAATATTTACAGAGAAGGATTTTTTTCACTATACCACTTGTTTAGTTACCACCTAGTTTACAGATGACAAGCATTTTCCCCTCTACACACTTCTTTCCTAGTATCAATTCAGATAATTATACTCCTGAGGGGGGGAAATAAGTTGCAAGTTGCTCAACAGCACAATGGAGGAAACCACCATTCTTCTCAGATCAGGATCAGGAAAACAGAGTGTCTCTACCACCCAGATTACTTCCAGTTTTATAACCCTCAATTTCACAGCATTTTACATGACACAGAAGAGTTAAGGCCACTTACACACTTGGAAGCTTTGAAGTCTTGTCACAGAAATCAGTATACAAGTATTTAAAGTAATAAGAGCTCAGATCACCTTTCGGAAGATCTGCAAGAAGTACAGATCTTTTTGCTTAAGGAAAAAAAGCAAATCAGGAAACAAACTGTGTCAGTGTTTGAGTGCACAATAAATAATACCTGTGGTCTTGTGTTGATAACAGGAATCAGCATGGATTTTCCTCCAAAGACACCCTAAAAGAGCCAGAAAGGATTTATTAGGCAATATTGTCAAATTCATGACTTGAGAGGCAGCAAGGTCTGTCCATTAGGATACTTAAAAACTAAAGACATACATGCACCGACAGCTTCCACCTCTGTATTTTCTGTGGGTTTTTTTTTGTTTAAGCCCGATAAGCACATATACAGCATTTCAGGTATTTCAACCTTCACTCTAGCAACAAGACTACATCTTGACTTGAAGGTTTGCCCTCAAGAGTTTATGCTTCAGTAGCATACTGAAGCTACACTAAATATAGAGCTATTTATCCTTCCTCTGGGAGGCCAAATGCCTTTGTAGTAGTTTTATAATACTATAGTATTAGGTCTTAGTACTATAGTAGTAGGTCTTTATAGTAGTTTTAGTTTACACCACTGAATCAAGTGGTTTAAAAAAAAAAACTGATTTCAAGCATGGCAAGAAGCTAGATACTACCAAGTTATCTAGTAGTAACATTTAAAAGATAGGTCATGCACCTGTAATATTTGGGAAATTAAGCCTGAAGTAAGTGAAACTAAAAAGCATATTTTTGTTCACATCAATAAATGTGTAGAGTATTTGTGTGAGGTAGTCTAGGCACTAGAACAGTCCATGCAGCTTTTCAGTTAGTCCACTGAGTAAAAAAAAAAATTCAAAGTTACGTTTGCCACAGCTCTTCTTCTGACATCTGGATTGCCACCATCTTTGAATGCTGAATCTTGGATGGTTAACTAGAAGAACAGAATAGACAGACTCAAAATAATTGCTATACTAAAATTACCTTCATATTTGGGTACAGCTTCTGGTCAACACATTAAATCTATTAGTGGCCATTCTTAAAACAACATTTAGACAAGACTACCATTACCACACAGGAATCTCAAGCCTCTCAAAAAGTCTTACTATCTGAACCTTAAAAACTGCACTTGAAATACTAAGAAAACAGTTCTGCAAGTTGATTCTTTACAAGTGTCAAAATTGAGCTTTTTCTAGTTGTTCTTTGCCTCTGCCTCAAATCAGAGGTCAAGCCACAAGAACAACTATTTCAGGAGATTTATAGGTAGCAATAAAACAAATCAAGCATTAATCTAAAGCTTCAACAAAAACAAGATTTAATGAGCAACTCCACAATGTTATTTTGGCAGTGGACAACCTATTGAGTAGGCTGCTGATTCCTAAAGCAGCGAAACTGTCAATAGGAACTCAAATCATCTGCTAGAACAAGATCAGCTCATACTTTTACATTTGTAAGATTCAGATCCTCTTCGTTTTGAGACATTTTTTTCTTGAATTGTTTCAAGAACTGCTTCAAAATGAGTCAGTTCCTTCAGCAATTGGACAGTGCAGTAATGTAAGTACAGTAGTATTTAGAGACCTGCAACCAGATCAGAGACAGTCGCTAGTGCCAGATCTCAGAAAAAAAGTGTTTAATAGCTATACAATTTCTCATATCTACATCCTAGTAAGACTTATGTTCAAATCTATATTCCTGAACGCATCGGGGATGTATGTGTGTTTCTCCTCAGTTATTTCATTCATTCTACATGAATAATTAATACTACTTCAAACCCTCCCTGGCCTAGCCTCCTTTCCTTACTTTTTCTTCATCAACTGTTTTTTTGGGGGATCGTTCTGATGTAGGTGAATGATGTCCTTTGGGAGATAGTGAATAAGGTCTTTTAGGTGCAGCATTCTTAGGATCGGTAACTGGAGTTCCACTTAATTCATGCTGTCCTTGGACAAAACGTGGTCTGAGTTGAGATATTGTATTATGTCCTGGAACGGTGCAACCAGCTGAAGGTCCCAATGTTCTTATTGCAACTCTAGCCTCCATTTCTGTAGGAGACATCAAGCTTTTAGAGTTCAGCCATGAAATTAAAGACTGCATTGCACCCACTACTTCAATACATACTTGAATCAATAATAGGAACAGAGAGTCCCTTAGACATTGATGGCGCAGCTACATGAGGCATCTTCTCTCTATTGTTAGCACCATTAGGTCTCTGACATACAGCATTTCTGTAAAAGTCAGATGTTAAAGTTATAAAATGCTAGTTTGTAAAAATAACCTACATCTCATTTTCAGGAAGTTCATGCAAGACAAATGCCTGCCTTCTTAGCTCATTGTCACAGCTCTATTAAACAACACAAACTCACAGTCTACTTATATGTACACCCTTTTTTTTTGCATGCTACTCCTACAGTACCAGCGTTAACACAGCAGGCATTACACATTTGGTAGTACTGGGCTATTACTCTCACGATTACTTATTCCTCCTGTGCTGAAGTAGCTTACGGACAAACAGACTTCCCAGGAAATGACTGACACTTTTACTGCCCAAGTTTTCATACTGCTTCACTAAGTCAGCAACAGCTCTAGTGTTTCTGTGACCAAGATCAGCACTTCATCGGAACTTCATACTGCTTAACATCAACCATACTTTTTGTCAGAAAGAACAGTGACCTACACATAAAATACTCCAGCTTCAAGTTACACACTAACCTAATGGGATTTATATTCCAGACCAAATAATTTATCTGGTATCAAGTTCTTAATTCCTATGTGTTCATGGTACATTACATTAATTTTTTTTAGGATTTCTTGAGCCCATCTCCCCCGACTCAAAGCAGATGCCAACTTCATTCCTGAAGCCATTAGAGCCCTCCACATGCTTATGATCCACATGGTTTCAAACAAGAAATCCTAGACAAGAAATCATTCCCACGGTGAGGCAATTAGAAGCAGCTTCTTCACAGTTCTAAGGTTATGGTGCTAACCTTTCTATTTCTGCTGCAGAGGTATCCAATTTTGAGATCTTATTTAACAAAGAGGAATTATATGGCATTCTGGAGTTTTTGTCTCTGGAACTGTCCAAACAGCTTCCATCTGCCGAAGTCCTTTTGCACTGAAGCCCACTAGCATTTTGACTAGTATCTACCATGCTTTGCTGAAACAACAGTTAGAAAAACCATAATAAAGTCTTCAAGTAATTATTAAAGCAAAAAAAAATTGCCAAAAGAGACAAATTGTTATACCTTCTTTCTTTTCTGTAAGATTTCTGCAGGCAAAAAATAGCGAAGATGCTTTTTTTTCACGTGAGCTGCCTCGATCTTCATACCTTCCTTTAGCACCTTGAGGTTGTTAGCCTGCCTGTAAACTAAAATGAAATTTAGTGGTGTAACTTAGTGGGGAAGCTGGCATTAGGTATTTGTCAAAGTTATGTATGGTTTCTTTAGAAAGGGCAAGCCATTAACTCTGTCCAACACAAACAAAGAGCAAGAAGTTTCCAGCCTAACTGCACACAAAATACTACCCAGGCACTCCACACATAGTCTCAAGAAGATAAACGGGACCCAAGATGCTCATTTCACATCCATTACAGACCAGATACATAACAGCTATTTAAGTTCAAAAATGCATTTATGTGCTCAGTTACAGCTGCGGTTTGCTAATCATGCAGCTCACATCGGAGCTGATGTCCTTCAGGTTAACCATTAGTTTTCTGGTTGAGAATAGATCTAGATGACTTTCTGAATCAACCCAATTGTGGACAGCTGACAAGAGACCAGACAGCTTACTCAAGATTCAGATTGATTTTTTTGTTTGTTTGTTTGTTTTACATTTATGGTGGTGATTGTGTTTGTTTGCTGGTTTTGTTTTGTTTTTTTTTTCCTCAACAGTTCTATATCATCATAGAACTTCAGTAGTTTATAGTCATTAAATTGTAGTGCTTCTGATAAGTCAGATGTTCCTAAAATCCAGTCTTGCTTTCTTAGATAAAATTTTAAACAGTTATTTCAATCAGCCTTTTATGTAACTTTAAAGTGCTATACTAGCACACCAGTTATTACAGAATTAAGTCACATTTAGCTAAGCTTATCTAACAGGCCTATCATGAGCATAACTGGAAAGCCAGCTTACTAACATACAGAGTGGGAATCAAAGCAAGGACATGCAACAAAAAGCTTAAGTCTTTCTACAGGAAACCTGGATGTGGAAAAAAAAAAAAGCACAAATATGAATATTCACACCAATACGAACAGTTGCTTCAATAATTTTTTTATGTAAAAGTGAAATAAAGTTCACTTAACAAAAGCCTTCCATACAGTAAGCCTTATATTCTTGAGCTCACCAACTTGAAGTTAATCTTTGCCCTCTAAAAATATTTTCTCAAAGTCAAGGCACACGATAAAAGCTTTCTTATACGTAATTACTGGTCACTCCCACATTTGCCAAAGGATTTCACACCTCTCAGGAAATAAACTTTCTGTTCAACCTCTCTGGATTCAAAACCTGTATCTGAAACATACTACAGGCTGTGCTTCACTAAACTAAGAGCACACAGCTATACTAATAAAGTTTGTGTGTAGAAAGAAAGGATTTAACACTAGTTCTAGCCTCCTAGCAGTACATGAACCTTGTTGGCATAATTTACATTTGCCACAACATTGAAATAAAGTGCCACTGGATGTAATCTACAAACATCAATACAGATAACAGTGCAAGCCTGAAGAAGTCACTTCACCTGGCCTGAAACACAGACCTAAGTTGTGATGCATTTTTCTGTGCTTTTCTCACATCCCGAAAGCATGAGCTAAAAAGGTCTGGTGTTACTGCATGTAGTCATGTTGCCTGAGCAAGACAGCACACAGCTCACGCTGGAACTGTGGATACACTCTTCACCAGTGCTAACAAACATTTAAAGAAGTCCACTGTTTGGAACCCTTTGTCCAAATACGCTTGTCACTTCAGAAGAGTAACCTGGTTTCCTCAGTTCTTCACTACGAGCCTAACATGAGCCTGACAGCACACATGTGCTTCTGAAAGGCACAAGAGCAGTCAGCTTGGGAAGAAGTAAACAGATCATGGAAGAGACCTATACTTTCAAACGGCTCCTCACCCCAAACACCCCTTATTCTAGTATTGCAAGTGTTGTTAGATAATATTACTTTATTCCTATATCTAAAGTAATAATGGAAAACAAACATGAAGGTTTACATGTAAGACCGCATGTAATTACAGTGTGACAACTCACTAACTTTTAAAGTTCTGGGATCATACACGTTTATTTTGGGAAGTCACTGGCAACAGGCATTAACAACTTATTTTAGAGCCTGATACAGTTAATTCCCATTTTAAAAGTTCAGCAACTGACAACTGTTTGACAAGTGTAGCTATACCCAGTAAATGGACATTTCCTGGCTCCACAGCTGACTAGCCACTTCATGAAACACAGTTCCTTTGTGAGTGTGCCTACCATGATCTGCAGAACTGTTATTTCACATATGGTATATGACTGTAGTACACATTTTTGCTTCAAGATGGACTTTGGCAGAGTATCAAGATAGTGTTTTTAAAGCTAATCCTCTATGTGTTGCTCTCTATAGAAATATCTAATACCCAATTCCAGAAGGAAGCACAATTCACTGTGTGAAGCAGCTTCCACTAAAATTTAAAAAAAATGAAACCCTACAAGACCAGAGCAAAATATAGGCTTACCTGTATCTGTGAATGACTGTATAACATACGTTAAATCAATGTGAATACTTTCTGTATTTTCCACTTTCCTAAATACGATGCCAAGAAACCACATTGACACATATCCACTCCTAAAAAGACAGATTCACAACACTATCATTTATGCACAGTTATTTCGATGCTAGCCTCTACTCTCAAGAAGGGATTAAGCAAAAACAGTTTAGTTGTATGCAGCAGTTAAAGACTAGAGCCAGCCCATACTTAAGTGCTCAGAGTACCTCTCTATGAAGTTCTCCCTTCTTTAAAAGATCTTACATGTGCAGAACCTTGCCTGTCAGAGCATGTACCTACACAACAGTAGGTGTGTAACTGAACATCTCCCACAGATGAGCTGATATAAACAAGTTACAATATGTTGGCCAAACTGTATTTCAGAAAAAATTATGAGACTCACTGTTTGAGGTCTTTGTTGCCAGGGAAAGACTGTGGCTTTACGTGTGCAATGGTTATAAATTCATTCCTCTCCAAGTTTCCAACCAGCACACGAATTTTAGATTCAACAAGGCCAATCCTAATAAGAGATATTTATTCATTAACTGTATCCAACACAGTAGTTACATGCCTTTTTAGAATATAATACAAAAATGCTAACCAATCAATAAGTAGTAAATTTCATTCAGCTGAGCAGCCACTAGATTTTTATGTCACACACTGTAGTTTGGGATGTTTCCAGTGACATTTGAGCTTTAAAGTTTCCAAAGACAGGGGTTCAGATGCAACACAATATACAACCTATGAGGAAAATATCAACAAGCAGCAGATCCCAGCATCTCTGGCTGCATTTTGAAGCGCAGCAAAACTCCTTTTTACCCCAAAGATCAAGGAGAGCAGTTTAGAAAAGGCTCAAGCACAACTGTCCAATTATACCCAAGTAAAGATGAAATTCTTCCTGCAGATTGATCAGTGAAGAGTTTATCCTCTTCTAGCCAGGCTGAAAAACTTAGTTCCTTTATTAAACAAATGGTCAGTCTCATCAGAAACTTACCCAAGAAATGAACCACGACCTTGAAGACTTTTCATTATTTAAATAAAGTACTGGCATTTTACCCTTTTACCCAAAACAGTGCTAACTTTGAAAGCAGTCACAAATCTGTACTTTCTTCAAAAATATCTTATGTTGATGAACAGATGTGCTATCTATACCCAAATCCATTCAAGAGCTGATGAACTAAACTTGTTCTTATAGCTATAATTACAATTGAGATGGTTCTCACATCAAGTTTCACAAAGTACTCCTGCAATTTACCTGTCCACTACCAAGCATGCTGAAATGATAATATTCATCACTAAACATAATATGTCTGAGCATGCTACTAGACTAAAACTTAGTAAATACAATTTATTGGCAATCAGATGCTTTGCACAGACTGTCAGGTTTCACCCAGATTAAACAGCCTTGTTTCCCTTCACTAGAGAACTAGAGAACTCTAGAATAGGCTGAGTACATAACCAGAACAACTTAGCACTGAGTGCAGTCTAGTCCTAAATTAAATATTAAATCCAGTAAAAAAAAGTTATGAAACTAAGTCTAAGGTTCTAGAACAGTGGTCTTTAAAGTGGGGGGCATGCATACCCCAGAGGGTGCACATGACAATCCACTGAGGTATGGAAAGAAAACATTAGAAGTTCAGTAATGTGTATGCAACTTGCAATAAATATCTACTTGTTGACAAGTAGATGTTCAAAAAAGTTTTTTTTGCAGATAGGAGTGTGCAATCAAAAAAATTTAGAGACCACCGCTCTATAACTCAGTAGAAGATTAGCTCTCCAGTGTCCATTACACATCTGATTACACCACGTAACCCTTGCTTGTTTCAGTCTCTGCAACAAGATACATCTTTGCAACTGAAGTAGTGAAGTAGCAGTCTCCTTAGACTCCTTGCGTCTGCTTCTCAAGATGGTGCAGAGCACCTGACCTTCAGTCATACACACACTAACCCTCTTTGATCCTTCTCATCATGACTAAGCTCTTCAGGCTAACTTCTTAAACAGCAAGATTGATGTTAACTTCCCTTCATAAGAAAGCTTTTAATTTTGCTGATGAACTCTCTACTTAACTTGATACTGTACTCAATGCCTAGTTGCACAGTCTAGTACTTCATGTTACCATAGTTAAAAAAATTAAAGAGCAACATCAAACTGAGTTTCAACTATGTATTGAACCCACATCTAAAGCAAGACTTACCACTCTAGATGATGCTCTTCAGTAGAGGCACTAGCAGTCAGCACAATATAATGTCTAGAAGAGCAAAGTGAATACATCAGCTCAGGACTTGGTATTCCTCTAAGCGAAACCAAAACTGCCTTAAATGTACAGAATATGACTTCCAGACAAAACAGATTATATCCTGTATTCAGCACAGTACTAACTGAAGAAAAACAGATTACATCATTTGGAATTGTGCTCTGCTACACTCTAAATATCATTGTTACTTTTTTTAATAAAGAGTGTCAGTGGCATAATGTACAGTTTTTCTATCTTCTGTATACTTATCCTTACCAAAATTCATACAACTTTACCTCCAGTTTCTGAAAAAAAAAAGACATTAATGCCATCTTCTATTTAAACTGCGAGTTAAAACTCACTCCGCTAACCAGTAAGTAAATAATTTCAAGTTAGACATCATAGTTCATACATACTTGTACTTCTGAAAGAAGTTCAGTGGTTCAAAGAGCTTTGACCAGTCTGATTTTCCTTGGAGAATATCATTTGTAACTGCAAGACCTGCAATTAAGGGTGAAAACCTTATTACCATTTTGTTTTTGAGACTAGCAGAGTATGATGTTAACTTTGCAAGATAACGGTTTTGAACAGTAATTGACAGATCAAAAAGCAGGAATTCCCTTGAAACAAACAATGCAGTTCTGCTACAACAGTTCACTGTAAAACTGGTCCCTTACTGCCTGCAACAGGAGTACTTCCCAGAGACCTATTCTACCTAAAAAGGCAGAACACCTGACAAAATATAACAAATTCAGATAATGTGGTTTCATATAGCAAGAAATATACTTTGTAATCAGTAAAGAATAGAAAGAACTTTCTTTACCATGTTTGAACTCCTCTACCATTACTGCTCGCGTTGATGTAGATACGTTGTATGTAGAGTTCTGCTGTGGGTAGGCTGGGGTGATGATAGGCATTACATGATGTCGGTCTGATGGGTTCACCTATGATTTTAAAACAATTTTGCTTAGCATCAGTTTAGGTTAGAAGAAAATTTAAAGGCTTCTGAATTCAATGTCTACATACCCTAGGGTCCCATACTGGTAAATTAAGATCGCTCTCTTCAGGTGGTTTCAGCATTACAGGCTTTGGCCATTCCCTATGTAAGAAAAGCCAGTAACTGACTGTCCACTTAAAACTCTGCCATGTAATTCAGGATAGGAGTGAATGTTGTTCATTTAAGTAATATATGAAGAACTACCTCTAGAATTGTTACTTCTTTATGCAAATTAAGAATAGGTCTTACCATTTTGAAAAAACCAAGAAGAACTTGTTAACAAGAGTAGAAGCTGAAGCATTTGGATAGAGTTGACACGTTCTTGCTACTAGCATTGCCCAGGAAACCCCACCAAGAAATCCCAGCATGTTGGAGTAAATGCCACGTCCTAAAATGGATACATTGTAGTAAGCTTCTAGTCTTTCAACACCAAAGTATATTCCTTCAAATTTACAGCACTAACTTCACAATCTACAGAATACTTAGTGCACCTCAGGCCCAAAGTTAGTTATTTTTGCCATGAGATGAGGCAAAAATTGTTCATCCTTACAGCAAGGAGAAAAAGAATCATTACCACACCACTTCCCAAAATACTGCTCCTCTGAAATTTACCCACACTGCTACAGCTACTGCTTCATTCCAACTTCCTTTAAGAAAAAGTTATGCTGTTCTTCTAGTGTCTGCTCTAGCCACATGATCAAACAGTGTTTTCTTATTCCTTATGTATCAAGCTTCTATACTTTGCATTTTTATAATTTGCAGTCAAGTTCCTGATAATCAATGCAGCACCTTGTCTTGTAGGCACTCCTCTCTCCTCCCCACTCTATCCCCATGAAAAACCACACAGAATCTACCAAATGGACAGACATTGAATCTAAACTAAAAACAGTTTTAGTTTTAAAACTGGCATTTATAGAGTTATCCAAAGCTGTACTACTTCTAATGGTCTTATATTTCCAGCATGAGGTGTCTCTAAAAAGTTTAAAGATCACAAACAATCACATTACTCACGTTTTGCCCACAGTTTAATTGCACAGAGCGTGAGCCGAAAAGTGTCTTTATTTGGCACTAGATGTAGTATTTCATCAGTAACTCTGCAGCCTGTAAGGAAAAACATAAAAGTACAGAAGTTCCCAGTAACGAGTACAAATCAGATTTATGCTATACAGGATCAATAGCTTACAGTTTAACATTCAAGTCTATGAAAACAAGTTTGGATTACTTGCTTTGTATTACCTTAAAAATTACAGATTACACATAACATTCAGAATCATTTCAGGTAACTGCTGCCCTCAACAGCTTTTTCATAGTTTAGACTACACCCAACAATTTTTAATAAGGTCTTTCTACAGTATTCTGAAAGCTAGGTTTCTTTTGACAGCCAGGAACAATTAAACCAGTCAGTAAGACAGCTAGGCTTCAGGTATTTAAAATATCTTTTTTTATGAACCACAACACATTTTTCTCTATCAAGTGCTCTGCCTATTAATCTGAAGCAGTTTCTGTGGCAAACTGTAACAATGCCCACACCCTGATCAAAGAAACATGAAATACAGGTCTATCTAAACACACAACTCCTTGAAACATCTACATTTAAGCCCACTTGCCACCTCCTCAGATCTCAAGTATACAGGAGATCAGTTTTTGCATCTTGTACAGAAACTTGGGTTGTGTAATGTGCATTCTATACCAATTTTAGTAACTCTTTATTTTTGAAGATGTGCAAATACGCTTACCATTTAGGCTTCGTATACATCTTATATCCAGGCTTCTCAGACGTGAGTCATCTCTGAGATCAAGATTATCAGAAATAGTTTGCATAGACAGTCTTGCAAACACAAGATCAATCTTAAGAGGAAAAAAGCGCCAACTGTGAGTTAGAATACAGCATTGTCTGCAAATAGCACACTGGTGGGGGACCATTAGTCATGTTTAGAAAGAGTGGTTAACATTCATATTCAGAATTATGTGACTATAGATGTATGTCCCAAGAGATCTATATGCCAGAAAACTTAAGAAAACTGCTAGAAGTTCCATATTTTATTTACAAAACCTTCAATGCATCCCCCCCCCCCTTTCTTTTTGAGCTAGGGAAAGGAAGGGATTTTTTTTAAGTTGAAAAGATATCCTAAACTTAGGATTTCCATTCAAAGGGAACTTAAAATTAATCATAGAATCTTAATTCTATGTTCAATGTTCAATCACCTCAGCTATAATTCAGCAAAGGAGAGAGCATTTTCTTTATGCAATAAGACCCTTTGATCCCAAAAATCTGTTTTCCAGTACAGTCTGAGGCAAGAGAATTATTCTATCAATGTCTGTACCAGACAAAGGCCACAAAAAGGTAATTGAATAAGTGAGAGTGATACCAAGCTGTAACTTGCTCAGGTACTACAGCATGCAAGTCTTTATTCACTGTATAATTTGTATTCAAGATACAAGGATTCCTGCAGCTGGCACACTTCGGCAGGAGTCAAATGAGTACTTTTACTTTTTGTTTTCCTGATTGTTTGTCCATGACTGCTTCATTTTCGATTTGCACCAAAACATTTAGTCTGCTCACATGATTCATACAGTGAACTACACTATACACATCCCCCTCTAGAAAGCTAGTTTGTCTAAGAAGAGTTCGCAAGGACACTGCCTCTACTCCCCCTCTGCACAGTCCTTGTGAGATACATGCTATTCAAGCAGACTACCTTGGCAGGTTTAGAAAAAGATGTGCCTGAAGTTCCCATGCCTGCCAGGCTTCCTAGAGGCTTCTTTTCCTGTAAGCTCCCATTCTACTGCAGTGTCTTCTCCTAGGATAGGTTGTGCTCAGGCTGTTTATAGTTTCCTAAATATACTTTAAGATACCAATAACATTCCAAAATAGCACAGTCACAGGTCCCTGGAGAAGGTATCCTATTCCAATGCAAGAAAAAAAAAATTTACTCAAAGAAAAAGTTGAAATACTTACCTCAATGCCATCAAACTCAAACTTGACAACTGGTACATACGCATCTTCAACTGCCTGGAAATGAGAGGATAGCTGTGTAAGAAAACATCTTTCACTACTTTTAATGTTTTTCCTAAAATACAATACAATACAGAATTTACACTGCTAGACTACTGAGTACAAAGATGGAGTTGCTTCTGAACCAAAAGAATTGTTAATAAGCTGAAAGCAATATAGCATTAATATGGTACTAATACTAGCTTTAAAAAGTTACTTAGTCAAGAGATACAGAGGCTGATCATGCATTGTAATAAACAGTGCACAATGAGCCATCAGTGGCTGTAAGGTACTTACCTTGGTAGTGAGGAAGAAAAGCAAGAGATTTCTGTAGCTATCTTACTACTCATTAACAACCAGAGAAATCTAAAAAACTGTCCACATTTATCAGTGTGCATTAGTCTCTTGTTTATTTTCTGCTGTGTCTGAAATGCTATCAGCTACCTTATGGGACAGTTTTCAATTTTGTAGACTGCTTGTTAGAACTGTGCTGCAGCCCACTGTGAGTCAGTTTTCAGGTGACAGTCATCTAAATGAAGGCTCATTAGCTACACATATGAAGTCTTTCAAAATGTCTGCACAAGGAAGACCAGGCTAAGAGAAACACTTCTCAGGAGTTCAGTTTCACAAAGTACACACCACATGCACCCGAGAGTGATTTTTACAAAGAAGTTTTGTATGTTCACAGCCCTGCCCCTATTAACTTTATTTTATGCAAAGCTGACAGTGTGCATCCCTTCCACAAAGTCTCAGTCTGAGTAGCCAGAGAGGAACGTGACCAGAGAACAAATTAGAGGTTCTGAAGTACATCCAGAGGAACTCCATGGCAAAGGTACTGACAGAAGCCTTCCCATAGCACATTCAACCTCTTTAGTTTTCAGGCTGCCCCCCTTCCTCTTCCTGCATGCAATTACCTTATTTCCAAGCCCCTTACCACATCCAAGATTAAAGCAAGGTTCCTAGGGACAATCTTGCTTTTTGATACAGCCGACTCACTCCCAAACTGTGGGTAGTGGAGAAGTGTACCACAAAGATTCTTATGTGACATACAGGCTTTGGGGAAAGGAACCAAAAGCTTGATTATAAAATTTTCGTGCTGCATAAAATAGCATTTCAGAAGGTGCTCAGAGAAAATTTTTTTCAAATTTTGGTTTGTAAGACATTCACTACCAATACCAGTCTTTAACGTGAATATTCTTATTGTAGAAGTTGCACAATCTATCAAGGAGAGAGCTTACGCACTCTTAGATTTTTTATTTTCTCCTGATGTTTTAGTTTTTCAAAGAATGACTGAAAAAAATCCGATCTTTCCACATGCCTAGGGGCAACACAAACAGCATCGATGTCAGCACCTGCAAAGAGATTCCATTTCTTCTGTTATTATTGGAAGTCACTTTCAAACACTAGAACTATGACCAAACAATGAAAATTCTACCTTTAGTGTGTACTCCAAGCCTGTAAGAACCAAATGTAAATATTTTGCCACCAACATTTGCTACTGCTGAAGGGGGAAGATTCTGTGGGTAGAAGAGAAAGTTTACTTTAGAGTATAAGATACACATTGACCTATGCACAAGTTTAACTAGTGTACAAGTTTAGAAAGACTACAACAGCCTCACTGAATGATGTCTTCTCACTCCCATACTGAGCTGTTAGTCTAATAGGCTGGTAGTTTTTTCCTGAAGTAGTACTTGCAACCCAAAAAAAAAAAAAAGATGAGTAATGTACCAGTCTTTTCATTAACTTACACAAATTAAGACCTATTATTACTCTTCCCTGCAGCAGACACACATAAATCAACACAATCTAAGAGCTATGCAAAAGGCAAGTCTAGTGTAATAATTTCAAAGATTGAGTGCTGTAGGCTGTTTGGGGCAAGATGAGTGCCCATTTACCATCTAGCTTACCCCACAATACATTGTTTCTGCTTTAACTGCTGCAAGTCAACTGACAGAGCCACTTCACAAATTTATTCAGTGCCCCATAGACTTCAAGATCTTGATCTGAAGCATCTTTTATACCTTATTTCAATGGCACTTACTACAGTTACTTACTACTACTTGCTAGTCAATACTTAAACAGAAAGTTAAAAGTTGCACTTTAGCCTAAATCCTAGTAGTATGGCCTTTAAAATAAATAAAAAGGCTTCAGCTGTTTTGATAAGAACATAAAAAGTCCTTACCTTGCTCTCACCAAGTTCTGAAATCCATTCTTTGACCAAGTTGTTCAGTTTACCAAGAACAACTAGCCTGTAAAGAAAACTCATGTTAAATTTGCCTTAAAAAAAACCGAAGAGATTAACAAATTTTAGTCTTCTTGTACCTGTGATTCAGTTCTTCCTCATCTTCAAATACCCCAAATGCTTTCATTGCTTCAACCAGCTTCTGAGTATAAATGCAATCTATATCCTGAGGAGAAGCCAAACAAACTGGAGAGGCAACTCCATAGTGCCTTTGAGGCTGGTGCTGCAGCCTAGAAGTACTGTGGGAGAAAACAAAATACTGAAGACTTCACAAAAGCAAAAAAAACACCCAAACCACTTATTGGAAAAAGCCCTTCAGCTTACATGTTTCCAAATCAATTTCTGCCCTTTTACCCAGCATGAGCACAATGCGGAAAAAATAAAAAAAAACAAAAAACCTGCTTATGATATTTAGATAACTTGACCTAACTTAGAAGTCAAAACTACTTTTTTTTTTTTAAAAAAAAAAACCACCACAACATTTGTGGATATAAGAAGAGATCCAAGTTGCTACTATCTTAATACAACATATTTGCCTTGCTATAGACAGGTAGAACTGATTACCAGGAAACGAAATGTTTGAAATCTGCTAAGGCTGACATCACATACAGCAGAAGTTTTGGACACATTTCAGTTTTGATTTAAGGATATTCCCATCAGCTTCCTGCTAACATTAAACAAGACAATTTACTGGCTTATTTTAATTAAATATATTTGCTGTGCTTCTACTGATTTTGGAAGGGCATTATAGTTGATTATAGAGAAAGGACATATAATGAAGTGGTCTGTTAAACAGAATTGATGCTGTAAATTCAGTATTACCCTGCTTTAGTTTGTGGAAAAGTATGAATGAAAACATCAACCAATATGCAGGTAACATTGCTAGAAGAGCCTCATGCTCTTAACATAGTGTTCAATTTTTATAGTTCAGAGGTTTAGCTGTACCTACATCTGTTTCATTTAACTCCAAGAGATGTATGTCAGCATATAAAGCAGCACAACTTAAGATCTGTTTGTAGAAGGTGCTCAAATCTGCCTAGCTCCCTGCCCAGTTAGGCTGAGCAGGACACGAGGCACCTGGGTTTGAGGGCCCACAAGGTTAGTGGCTCTGGAACTCCAATTACAGCAAGGCAGAATTTTCACCTCCAACCCTCCATATGCCCTGCATGTTTAGATTTACTTGCAATCACAAGCAGCACAGGACTGACACAGCAGGACAACACTAAAGGCAGCATTAGCTCCCCCTCAGCCCCGATAGAACCCTTGCTTTAGAAAGGTAAAAAATGGAGAAAAAAATCCCTACTTTGCATTACCAGCTGAAAACAGAAGAGAGAAAGGAGTGGGACAGAAGGCAAGAACTGTTCCTGATAGGTCAAGGGTCTCTACAGAAACACTAGTAGCAAAAGGGGGAGATACATTAAAAAGTCCATAAAACCCATCACACTTGTTGAAGAGTCCATATCCAGACCCTAAAGCTAAAGGGATTAATTATGCCACTATTCGAACAGGATATTTTTCTACTTCACACATGGACAACTTATATGCTTATAACTATTGAAGGAAATAGGTACAGACCCATTTTGGCCAGAACAGGTTTAGGAAATGCTCAAAGGACAGCTCCAACACTTGATTTAAAACAAGATGGCTTATTACAGCTCCTTACTTCTCACTGTTGCCTTTATTCTTCCATTGAGGGAAGACAGATTTATAGATTTCTCTCTCTCAGAGCAGCTTATCCAACTACAGATGTAGCTTTTAGTCATCTAGTGTCCCCCCCTCCCATGACCTAATTTTTCAAAATTTCTTTTATGTGTTTTCCCAAAAAAAAAAAGGGTGGTAGGAGTATTAGGACTGGAGTGCTACCAACTACTCTCCCCAATCAGAACAGCTGTTTACTTACAGGTGGGACTAGACCTTGACCTATTTGCTTTGCCTTGTTTATAGGCATAGTCGACTTCCACTTCATAAGTAAAAATCTTCATAATGAATATTTTCCTTCTTATGATATAATTTTTATAAAAAATACAGAAGGAAAGCCTATGTTCAATTGCTGTGCATTACATCTAAATTAAAACACCAAGAGCAGCAACTTCCTACATGTTTTACGCATTACTTGCATTGTACAACTTGTACTTCAGAAAGTTTGTATGAAACAAGAACAAGTTTTAGACTTCGCAAGTATTCAAGATCTTTCCTGTGCCTTTCATTGCCCCAGGGATTATAATTAGAGACTGACATAAAGGACAATAACAATTAGGTATTATTAATATCAAATTCTCTTAGTCAATAATAGATTTTTTTTCAGTTGCTTGCAGGTATTACTGAAAGTTCGATCTCACAACTTAAAAGTTGAGCAAAACGGCACTTTGAAAGTTTTACTGGAAGAGTGACTTACGCGCAATAGAATTTGTTCCTCTTTTAGAATTAAAAAGATAAACACCAAACCATACTTCTCTCTCAAGTGTAGCAGAGTGCCAGCCATATACAAAGGAGGGATCTTAAGAGATAAAGTAGCATACAGGTCATACTACTTATTCATCCATCAGCCTTCTGTTTAAGTGAGAAGCCTGTTGCAGTTTAATATTTTGCCAACTCTAGCTACAGTTTGCCCACCACATTGAACAGCTCCAACACATTGATGTTCTGACAGATCCTAACCTTACACGATAAATGAACCTAAATTGATTCCTTCCAGGTTTTGTCACTTACTTATAGCTTGACCAAGCTGCAAGCCATTTCTCCCACATACTCCAAGAGGCAATGGATAAGCTTACACCATCAGCAAGGCACGTTCACTAGGGATGGATTTCCCAGACCCAAGGAGGGTCGGCTCACCTCGCAGCCCAACTCAAGGACAGTCAACTTGCCTTGACCCGAGGAGAAATTTAACCCTTCAGCCTCTTCTACACTCACCACTTGGGAGGAGGAATGACTGGAAATCAGCTCCTGAACCCCAAAACCGACAGCATGAAGCAATACCATCCAACCCCCTCACCCCAGTGCTGCCACTGAGGCCCCAGCAGCTGCACCTTCTGCTCCTCTCACAGAGGTTCACACTGAAACCAGCCTGCAGACACCTACTAAAGTTAAAGCACTTTGTTCCTGAGGACAATATTCAGAAAAAAACACTTTCTAAAAATCTTTCCCCCAGTTTAAGTTTGCCTTACCCCCTCCAAGCCATTACCAGGCTGTAGCCACCAAACAACATGGTGGCAGACACACAGAACCTTCCACACACCAAACCCAGGGGCTCTGACAACCCGGGCTAACCCCGCAGATCCCTGAACCCCCATTTTCACACAAAAAGAGCTTTATCATTTATTTTAAAGACAAGCTTTCCCCAGCAGGAGGAACGCTTCCCCTCCCCACACACACACACGCCAGGTCCCTCACAAGGCTGTGGCGGGGAAAAAAGTCCTCTCAGGGAAAGGAGACGCGAGAGAAGGAGGGAGCC